TATACATTTTACATGTATGACGAATTATCAATTACAATATTCATTTAAGCAATGAATGTTTTAGCAAATGTTTTATGGTCCTATAACACACATTGCTATTGATGACAAACTTAGTAAAGCTCGGCAGGGCTTTATATAAGTTTGTCAGCAATGGAAATGTGTGTTTTAGGACCATAACAATATTTGCTAAAATATTCATTATTTCTATTTACATTCGATAGAGTAATTACGTTTGATTTAGTTATTTCGAGCAGTTCTTTGAATAGCAAATTACGCATTGACAATAATGCGGTTGATGACGTCACAATAGAGATCGATGACGTTACAATAGCAAATGTTGTTACAGTCTTACAACAATATTTGCCTTTTCAATGCGTTACAATGGAAAGATGTAAATATATTATACTATTAGTGAAACACAGAAGTTGTTTTTAATCAGACGATTTTTACTGTATTTATTATAAAAACAATAGAAAATACAGAAGAATACATAAATCTGCTATTAATTCTAAAAGAAAGCCTATGTTCTCAAGAGGAAAATTTCATTATCGAATCTAAATGGGGGGAAAAGAGAAAAAACATAGGCTTGAGAAAAGTTACAGGCATCGAAAATTTGCCTATTTTCGTTTCTCGTAACAATGGCACAAATCAATTTTCAGAATTTGTATAAGAATATTGCAATAATGCCAATTTAAACACCTTGCACAATTAAAACTTACTCAATTACATAATCTTTGATACAAATACACAATTATTGAAATGTAATATTTATCAAAAGTCAATTTTTTGGAATAATTTACCACAAAGAGTAAATGCATCTTATCATGTTATCCTTCGGGCATTTTTGTCATACGCCGAATTAAATTACGTATTAGTAGCTCAGTTTTCATTCCTACTAGATAATTTCCAATATGACTGCATAGTCCTTATTTTGGTGATTACAAACAAACTATGAATAAATAAACAAAAGTCATTCACAGAAATGGTAAAATGATAAATTGTAACACATGGTTTTATGTTTTTATCTTAATTCTTCAAATTTTGAGAACATTACAAATATATATATATTATTTGCTGTGTATAGTTATTGAAATATCTTTCATATTAACCTTCACTCAGTGAAAGTTTTACGTGTCCAAAGGTGCTGTGTGGCTATTACAGGACTATACGTTCATTATTATCAGGCGAACTACGCCACTCTGTCCTTTATATTTGAAATTAGTATAACATATGCCATCTTTAAGACGTGTTTGGCATTATACTACGTTATATATTCTTTTTAATACTTTGACCCTTCAAATTAAACACGATAAAAAGTTACAGCATGGGATACACATTATATATTTAATAAGATTGTTCCAATTGACATGATATAATCGTTTTACGATTAACTCTCAACTGATTTACTGAATGAAATGCTAAAGAACAATTTCTCGTCAAATTCCCTTATGCATAGGAATATGGTAAGTCTTCTTTATTTTTGTCTTAGTGGTACACATGGAACACTTTTTTCCAGATCTCGGAATATTGTTGTTTATTCATAATCATTTTACAGATACCTTTATTACTTTATAATATATCTTTAAACTTTTCTTTAAAATACCTTTCATATTTATATCATAAAGTTATCTTATTAAAATATATGTAAGATATCTTGTTTAAGAGTCTTTATAAGATATGTTCTATAGACGTATTTATAAGATATTTTATATAGAATATATTAACGCTTATTTAACCGTATGAATATATGGGTAGACATATATATATCTTTTAGTTAGGTAACTCTTCATTAATAATTGACAGCGATTTAATTCCGTAGGGATCAATTGTTATACAATACTTATTCAATGGTCAGTATCACGAAAACCTCGATCTTTATCAAATATTTTAAATAATTTTCTTTACGGGAAATCTAATATATTATATAAGATATTTTTTATATTTTTTAATTTTATATAATAACGCAATTTTATCAATATATAACTCATAAAACATATGCATCTTTTAAAATATACAATATATCTTACATTATATAAAAGATATTTTATAAAGAAAATTTTAAAATATATCCTCTATCTGTTATAAGATATCTTAAATATCTTTTATGAAATATATTCGTCTAATACGTTTTTATATATATTCTATCGGGTATTCCATAACGTTTATATAATAGATTTATCTTATAAAAAATAGTTCATCGTACAAACATATCAGAAATCTTATTAACATATAAGATTTATAAATAGTATATAAAATATTATATATGATACAGAAAATGATTTGTAATATATTGAATATATATTAATTCATAGTTGGCATATTATATAAATTTAAAACTGGCTTGCTATGCATTAAGATGAATTTTCGATCCAACACAATAACGTCCAAGTTCCATTGCCGGACAAAATATAATTGACAAATAGGATCATGGGCATATTATAATTGATTTACCGTGCATATCTACATACAAGTGCGAAAAGTCTTGATAATTACCTGTGGTTTCTCTTTATACAATTCACAGACACGATTAAAATATAATATAGTAGTCCAGTTCAAATATAGGTATATATTTTAGTTCACAATGTAGTTAAATAGATGCAGTACTAATGAAATATCAAACATTCGTCTTCAAGAGTAACAAGGGTGTATACATTAAAGTGAAATATACAATCCAAGTCCCTAGTTACTGATAAACCTGTCAAGTTATCATTGTATCATCTCTGTTTAATATCATCTATATTGTGCTTTGCAGATCATCATTGATAGATAGTATACTTGTATTTACAAACATCCTGATCTAGATTAAAAAAAACAGACTTGATCAAATACAAAACAAAATTCAAAATAAAATGTCCTGATCCATGATTCTACCACTCGGAGAAAGACTAGTTCAGAACTGCCTGTTGAAAACAATAACAATGTGGTTTGTCCGCCTCTAACGTACCGCCCACATTTCAAAAGGTTTCTTCTCCGGCTGCGGTTGGCTATAAGGTATGAGATGTTTGATAAAGTTTTAACCTTTGTGTGCTAGAAGGCGTGGTTTCAAATCCAACCTGTGAGAAAGAAAGCAGAAAGCTTAACACGGTCTTAACATATTTGTGTATACATTGTTTTTCTATGGGTAATACTAAGCCTAATTGTTGCTTTCCCGCATCATATAAATTGTTATAAATGTAAAATATATTTTTTTACAATAGTTAACACATTCAAAAACATTATCCAATGTATTTCAATTCATAGCATAAGTCATACATGTGTGTAAACCAGGTTTTGCAGTAATAAAACCTTATTGCAAATATGATATTTCTGGCCGGGATTCTGACCTGACTGCAGAACAAAATCAGCACAATCATAAACATATTATAAACCCCTTCAGAGATGTTGCTATATGTTATATTGATTGGTGGATAGTTATAGAAACACTACTAACTAAACATTTAAACCAAAATTAATTATATTTAATATTGTGAATTAGTTTGTGACTGTACACAACCAAGATCTACGGGATTTAGATAACTTACAAGAAGTTCATTTCTGTCATAATGATTATACCAGTAGATTTAGCATTCTGATCTTATTTATATTTGTTGAGTTAGGCTGTGTTTTGAAGAAAAAAACGTCTTTAATCTTGAAATATACAGCCCACCCTGTTTGACATATGTATGTAAATGGCCGCTGTTTTCATAAAAACATGTCAATACTTCACTATTTTAACAAAACAAAGAAAAACCTAGCATGGCACAACATAAACATCGCTTGATTGTTATGACGGCATGTATTTGACTAAAATGCATTCCTGGTTAGCGATCTTAATTAATCAGATTATCGTTATATACCAATCATGGTAATGCTTTTAGATTTTTGCTAAGTTGCATGGCATACGCATTGTACAAAACCTATCTCATAGCTGACTTAGTTTAATCTTTGTTTTATTCACATAACATATGTAATACATAATACAAATATGATTAAACATAAATGAATTGGGAACAGAAACAAGTGTTAATACACTTATATACATCTGTTACCGTTCATCGTCACCAACATTATCAACTATAGCTTAGGGATAGTGACGTGAATACATTACAGGGGAAGTTAGAAGAGAGTTGGGGGAATGCAGTGTAAAAATATGGTACATGTACAAAATACGTTATATTCATAAAATCAGTACATTGCGGTCAAGAAAAATCCTTTTGTTGCGTCATCGTTAATACACCTTATGATTGATTTTCAGACTGTTTCAAGAAAGGTATATATATGCATATAAGTAAGATCTAAATAAACAAGCTGCATTATAATGCTAATATAAAATATACTCCATGATAATCATAATCATATGGCTGTTTTTTCCCTACGCAGACAGTCGTTGTGATAGACTGTTCACATTCCATACACTATTGCTGCTCAATTGTTCGTCACATCCCGTGTCTTAATATGTCATTCTCCTGTTCATTCTTTTCTTCCTGGTATATCCGTTTCCACTAGACTGTTTGCATCGGGAAAAACCATCCACATGACTTAATTTACATATAATATATGTTATTATATGAATACAAAAGTCATTGATTAAGAATCTTATTCAAAGACGTCATAAGATAATAAATCAGAAGTCAATTGATCTATTATTATGTTAGCAACTCAGCTATATCTTTTTACACAAGATCGCACACAAACGTCCATGTATGCATCCCGTACACATATTATAAACACATATATCTAGCATACATACATACACACACACGTACGTAAGTACATACCTACCCACCTACATACATTCTTAAATTATATTTACTTGCGCACATGCGTGTGCATGACTGCATGCATAGTTATGCACCCACGTACGTACATGTAAATGTATGGACTCCTACACACACACGCTCACACATGCATGCATACACAAATAGATGCAGTCGTACATACATACATGCATGCATACGTACATGGTTTGAGCTACTCAGAATCCAAAAAAAAAATGTTGTTGAAATCGCTGACTTCGGCTGTTTTTGTTGAATGCACAGTTCGGGCTAAGAAGAGCGTGTTCCCTTCTGATATCAACTATTTGACCCAGTAACAATGGACAAAGTAAATCACAGCAGAAGCATCGAACTTCCTCCTGGCCAAAATCTGAATAAAATAATAAAAAATAATATACCACGTTAGGTAATATTTCGATTTCATGGTTCATATTTTCAGATATTTTCATGTAGTTACTTTTTTAATTCGACAAATCAATTTAAGGGATTGTTATTTTTAACATATCCCAATTTTTCCCAAATAAGACAAATACATATATTTAACTTTTATATAAATAACTAATCTTATTCGAACATTTTAATGATTTCTTTTAAAATTTGAATGGATATTTCTGTTTCAATTGCAGTAAAGAAATAACATATTACCTGTGCATACAATATATCTGCATTACGCAAATACGATGGTATCAGTTTGAATATCTTAACAAAGCATATATTATAATCAACTTTACTTACTATTTTAAGATTATATCTTACCGGTAACATAGAATCCAGATGTAGCGAGATCATCAATATCCGGGGCCCCACTGTATCCACTCCAATACAGGTAGGTCTGTATGCGGTCTGACAGCTTTCTGTAAGGGTGATCTGGGTAGAAAAACAAACACTCAGGAGAACGTTGGACATGAAAGACAGAAGGATTTGTACCGTTCAGATTTGAAGCGTCTACCTCCAGTCCACAGGCGGTGCATGCTACTGTTGAAGTCACGGAATTGATACAGGAAAATCCTCCTGTCACGAGCGGTCCTATTGGAATATTTGGGTGATGCCAAACCCGAAAGCTGTCTTCTCTTGTGCGGTCATTTATCTCTGCGTTAACGAGGTTCCCCATAGCTCGGGCCATTTTCTTACTGGAAAGACCAATGTTTAAGTACAGAGAAGATTAATTGTTTGTCAATATTAGAAAACCACTTCTTAGTTTAAAAGATTGCTTTTTTTCTGTTGGAAAACAAAATGTTATTAAAATTATCAGCAATATAAATACGTGAAAGACACTTTTACAAATAAAATGTCAAAATGTTTTCATATTAAAATGAAGTTACTCTGTATATAATTTATTTATAAAAACCTATTACAGTAGATGGTATGAAGACAGACATGTATACAACAACAATGATTCATCTCCAATTAGTTATCTGCACGTTTAACAACGGTCATTCTATTCAATATCTTATCAATTACGAAGGACATAATAAATAATCGGTAAACATATACATAATATAAACATGATTTATCTTTGATAAAAAAAAAAAATATAAATATGTATGGAATTAAGTTGTAATTAATATCATAAACAATTTAACAACGAAATAAATGTTTGATATGCAATCATTCTTGAACCCAAAACAATGAGTTCACGCATAGAATTACGAATCATTAATCTTCTAATTGAGAAATATTTATAACATAAACAACTTCTTCTTTTTCTTTTATTTGACCCGAAAATTAGAAACCGATATATTATATTTAGATAAACTTGTTCATAATTTCAATTTTCAAAAATAAACTAAATAAAATCTTTGTTTGACTCATTCTTAACTCTTTTATTGATTTTGTTTCAACCAAGTTAAACATATTTGTATGCCAGCTAAAAAATGTAAAGCAATTGATTTGATTATCGATAAATCTCGGTATCATCAATCTTATGATAGTACAAATACCTTTATTTTTTTTATTTATTTTTCATTGCTCACCGGAATCAAGTATCAAACACTATATATTCGTTTAAACTTTGATATGAAACATTTATGTGCATAATTAATTGTCTGATGTACAAGTACAATTAACTATAACTACACTTCATTCACTAGAATAAGTCTTTTTTTTAAAGCATTTAAACGATTCTCTTCGCATACATAATTGCAATTACATCAAATCCATTAAATAAACTTAGATTAAATTTCACCAGAGAAACATTCTTTGATACCTGTGAATTTCTTGATATTTTTTTGTACAAAGTATATCTTTTCTTTTTCTATGTAGATTACTATGAGTGAGTATAACCTCGCGTACATTTTCCCATGGAGATATAGAATCCAATCAACAGGATGAAAACGTACGTTGTTGATTTGTGCATATAATACTCGACTTTTCAAACCTAAAATCATTACGTCAAATAACATATCTCGGAACTCAAAACGAAATTTTATTTTATCAAAAAGAGGTGTGTGGTGGGGGTTGGAATAAGTTGTCATAACAAATAAATACTTCGTCGTGATAGTCTTCAGAGATATAAAATGTTGATGCTTGTGTCAGGTTTCTTCACATACCGATAGCCCAGTTTGCCCTACCTATGACATGATTACCAAGAGTTCACATAGGAATATTTGTCAAGAAATGAAAAGGAAAAAGGAAATTCAGACTGACCATCATTCTACTTAACATAATGAGTTATGTATTGAAAAACTGGCCTATTCACGTGTATATACGTGTTCGTCTCTATTTCTTCAAGTTTTGAAGTTTGATAAAGTTTATCGAGGGTGGGGTCGGTATGGGGATATAAGACCATTAAAGAAATTTCTAAGTACATATATTATTGATAAACGTGGATATTAATCTTCATTTGTGATTATTCGTTTGTATTCACCAAAGATATCTGACAAGACCAAATAAAAGTGTGTGTACATGCTGGGTTGTGTGTTGAGTGATGTACATATGGGTTTTTTCTTGCTATAGGCCATGACATTACGACAGTTTGCAAAAGTTGGCTCAGCAAATATAAAACAAGGCTGTTACAATAAGCTGTCCGCAAAAGACTTTCTTTTAATTCTGTGTTACCATTCATGGATTGTGCAATTCCATATTATGAAAGTAATTACGTTTAAACGAAAGTCTATGTATTGTCAGTTTTTTAATGAAACAAGGATTTTAGTATGATAGCTACCGTCTAAATTTGAAAGATGATTTTTGTGTAATAAAACTTATTTTTAAGCAGACAAATATTTCTCTCTGCTAAATGCCGTTATAAAGAGAGTGCCTGAGTGTGTTCATTAAGTCCTCGCATAAACAGATCGTATCCATAAATTCTAATAAATCGTTTCGTATTCTAAATCTCTTTAACCTTGTTGATCATGAACCCAAGAAAAACATCATATTTAACCTTAAGTTATTCAAGTATAATACACATGGGAAACTCGGTAATAAGTATTGGCCATTAGCCAATACGGTTTAAAATTCCATGAGCCAATGAAATCACCCAGACATTTATTCTAATAATAGCTTTTCTCATGCTCCCCGTTACTATTTCATTTATATATATANATATATATATATATATATATATATATATAAGCTGTTCAACAAATGTACGTTCGTTGAATAAAACGCATGATGTTAGGGGTTATGTCAAAAACGATTAGTTACGTAAAATCAACTAGGTATCAAAACGTAACAGGTATGTGATGAATGTGATCGCGGAAAGGTTACGGGATCATCTCTAGATAGTAACAATCACTTATATTCGCTCATTCATATTATTGATAGTAATCTGTAATTGTAAAGGTTCTGACTAATTAGTGATAGTATATGATCACATTATGTTTCTACAAGTCATTAGTATTGCGTATGGCACCGTATCAGATACATGATAGTACAATGTAAATATAATAGGTCATTGCCAATAGGAAGTTACGGTATGAGTACACGTGTAGTAGTCTATAAGTTAATAGGAGGGAGAAGGTCTCACCGAAAAGACAAACAATCTTATGAAATCCTCCACCAACAAGAGAAGACAAACCATCTCAAATGATCACTCACCAACAACAATTGATGATGTTATGCTACCTCGATGTCTTCAGTATACAACCATGCAGCTGATAAATGTAAGGAGCCCAAAACTTGGCATTCGTCCAACAATATTATTGTCACGTGGTTGCTGCCTTAAAAAGGATAGAAAATGTTTAGCACTGTTAGGTTCATACATATGTAATATGTGCATTTTAGGCTTTGTTAAACAAATATAACATTAAATATTGATGTATTAGGCATTTAAAGAATGTTTTGCCTGATAATCAACCGGTATCTCGGAACGACAACCTTTCTTTTTTTCTCAAAATGGTCGAATAGTAAATTTAAAATATGAATTCAAAAAAAAAAATTGACAATAAATTGAATGTGGTATTTTATGAGGAGACTGTCTCTGATTTATTTTGACAGTGATGCAGCTGTATGTTCATATTTTTTGTAATAAGAAAACAGAGAATAAATGTAATCCGTCATGACAGGATTAAGATATTTTATTTTTTTATGCATATACCAGATTGATTGAAATACTGGCAGCCTAGTTTGTCCTGTCCGTAGTTTAATTCCCGAGAGTAAGTTCAGAAATATAGTTCAACAAAATATACAAAATAAAATCAGCAGATACAAACCTATAACGCATTTAATAAAGTATCAAAAAATATGTATGTCATCGTCATAACTTCCATACGTTTTGACACAGGGTTAATCGGGGGTGGGGGTGGGGGGGTTAAAAAACATAGAGGAAAACCGTTTTTGTGGATAAAACTATTGATAAAAAATATATTGAACTAATCTTTCGGGACTATTCTTTCATTCTTCTCAAATAACAACGTGCCGTTTTACGATTATATATATAAGAGATCCGTTTAACCAATCGGATGGTCGAATGTGTAAACCAACTAAATATATATATATAACTATACAGAGACAAATCATCAATCTACAATGAACTGTGACACGACTGACAGGTGTGTATACTATTTACTGATTTACACACAAAAACCATTAAAAATACCATCTACCGAAAAACAAAGTCAAATGATTTATATTACCGAAGTTATAGTACTATGAACAACTGTGAAATCAATAGGTAAATGGATGCAGCAAAGTGTAGAAACAGACCACACAATAACCAGTTGCCCGCACGATTGGATGAGATGTTTGTGGCGTTTGATTTGATGAAACGTTCAAGGAGCAATCAAATAGGCCACACAAAAAATCGTCGAAACAATAAAGAGTAAAATGGAGAATTTGACGTGTGTGTTGAAAATTGCATATGTGATGTTCTAGTATTTATAAGCCACGACGTTGGTTTAATGGATACGTATCGTAGCTGACACTTGTGTGTCAAGTTTTCTCTGTTTCAAACACGTCAAGAATTAAAAGGTTTTGTATTGAAAAGAAACTTAAATCTTAAAAAAGATATAGCATCAGTTGCCTAAATGATAAAGATGTCAGTTATTTAATCAATTAGTTTAGTAGTTTCACGGTTCTCTCTGCAAAATGTCGTGACAAGTCCCACTTTGTCAATAAGTCTACGAATGAAGATTTAAAATAATAAATTTAATACATCATTTTCTCATGCTAAATCGAAATAAATGCGAAATGAACGACTTTGTTCACAAGCCAAAAATTAAACTCCGAAAAAGACAAATCATTGTACCTGCAATAAATGCTGTATTTTCTCCAACGCGTTAAAGCCAAATACGGTATAAAAACATAATGAGATGTCGTAATAAAATAATAGAATTAACAAACAAAAACAATTACATTTAGGTCAAATGATTATCAGTACAGTTTCCTTTATTTAAATGTTCGCAATTACACAAATGGATTTGAATTCTGAACAAAACGCATTATGACGTAAAAGGTATAGTCATAAAAAACCCAGTTAAGTAACGAACAGCAAATAATTTAACAGGTAAATACTTAAAGTTTATTGTGTTGCTTTACAAGCTCCGTGAAGTGTTACGTTTACAATGCGGCATTTTTCTTTCACAGTCACAAGTTTATGCTGTTTGTATTATCATCATCAGACTTATGTGTTGTACCTTTCAACGGGGAAGCTGTAGTCAAATGGTTCATTAGTATTTTATATTAATGGCAGTGATTGCTGATATGGATATATATAGAGTTGTTTAGTCTTGATCAATGGACAACTCTTCATTCTTGCTTTAATTCGTTATTAAAGTTGACGCCAATTTTCTTGATGAATTGGTAAGATAAATTATTTTTAAAAAGAAGGATCAGCCTCTTCAATTTTCATCAACGCAATACATTGGATATATAGTCCGTTACTGACCCTCTCGACTGGCTTCCGTCTCTAGAATATTATATAGATATTAAATTATTTAGAGAGAAAAAATTAACTCTTAGTAGCCATCGAAATTGTTCTTTAATGTTTACAAGAAGGCGATTAAGTGATTGCGTAACTAATATTATATTGTGTTACACTGTAGTTATCAATGCATTAACATTCTATTTTTCGACACAAAAACGAAATTGTTTTTTTTTTAATAACAGTTACTAAGCGCCCAGGTTTCAAGACTTGTTATAAATATTGACTATTACACAAGTGGACTAGTATGATTAACAAATGTAATATACCGTAGGGGATTATGTTAAATATATCAATGAAATAGAGATCATACGCAATGAAGTGTTAAGTCTAAAATGCTGCATATTTTTCTTTATACACATAGGTCTAATTCAATTTGGTGCTGTTTGGTGGCATACACATATACAGGTACCATCCTCATGAAACGGGTTCGTTATTATCTACTGATGTGAATACGACGTATGCCAGAATCAACCATAGCATATGTTAAAGGCTTGGGTATCACTTTGGATTAATACCTGCCATCATTTATTTTCAATCCGAAACTTTTCATAAACAAATTACTTTCATTATATAATAGAATCATCAATTTCCTTATATGTAATTATATTTGAAATATGTAATAAAAAGTTGAAAATGGGTGTAAAATATGTAAACATATGGTAATTAGTAACTTACCTGTTCTTGTAAATTCTCTTTAATCTGAATTAAGAAGAACAAAATAACATTTTAAAATAATTTAATTGCTGATTTTAAAATGCTTTCAATAACGTTTAATTTTACTGTACAAGAACTTAAATTAATAAATCGACTCATCAGAAAGAAAAGAGGAGATATCATCATTAAGGCAATAAATTAAAAATGATATTTGAAAACTAAACATGACGAATAGACAGGATAGAAATAGAGAATGAAATAATAAGGATAGACAGCTAGAAAACGAGGAAGAATAATAGAAAGGAAAATCAGAGACATCTTTTATTAGTAGTACAGAATATATAGACCTGACATAGCACATCGGTATCATGTGGATATCTCACTAATTAGTGTATGCTAGATCATTTAAAAGCAATATAGTATATATGTATTACAGTATTTTTTATAAAAAAAAAATCACTTATTAAACGCCATGTATAAATGGCAAAGTTATATAACAAATACAAATTGTACACTCTCGGGCTGGAAAACACAAAAACTGTTCCCGGTCAATGAAAATCTTTCTTATAGTTAAGAGGAATATTAAAACGGTCTAAAATAAATTACGGGTCATCTCTAAACGTTTTACTTCATAGGTACTTCATGCACGTGCGCTAGTGTTAGTCTTACAATGCATATATTCATATATATATCAGAAGAATATTGTTTATTTGTGGTGTATATTTCGAAACAATCGATGAAATTTAAATTACAACTGCATATACTGCAAAGGTAAAAATAGAAATGCTACTTTAGATACATATATAGCATATCAACATGGTCCCGTGAACTGTCTCATGTTGTGAAAGTCTATCCAACAGTATTTGGCCAAAGATATTGTATTCCCTATCTAGCCATCGTTCTGTTAGTCGAAAATTCACTTCGGACGATAGGAAGTAACCTTTGGAAAGCATGTGATGACACAATAGGACGAAATGAGCAAACCGAATGTCATTTTTCTAACCAGCTTAGCTCAAGTGAAGAACAGATGCCCAGAAAAACAAACCAAACACAGAGAAAGGGAGAAAGATAATACGCTGAGTTCTCCATTTTCATCATGATAAAAAGTCAAGACAGAATACAATCGAAAGCTGTTGAATGTGCTCGATATAACGGGCATCTCAGACTCATACACTGATTTACCATCAAACGTAAAAGTATTGGCCATTAGCAAAATACGGTTTAAAAATCGTAACAAGGGTATAATCGAGAAATATTCCATGAGCCAATGAAATCACCCAGACATTATCTAATAATAGCCTTTTCCCACGGTTGTCACTGTACATGCACAATTGGGTCACATGGATCCCCGGTACTATTTCATCTATTGTATATGGAATAAAACGCATGATGTTGTAGTGGTTATATGTCTAAAATGATCAGTTAAGTACAAACAACTATGTATCAAAAGGTAACAGATGCGTGATGAATGGGATCGCGGAAGGTTACGGGATCATCTCTAAATAGTAACAATCACGTAGATTCGTTCATTCATACTACTGATAGTGATATGTAACTGCATGATGAAGATTCTGACTAATACGTGATAGCATATGATCACATTACGTTTTTACAAGTCGGTAGTATTGTGTATGGCACCGTATCAGATATATAATAGTATATATAATAGTTAATTGTCAATTGAAAGTTACGGTATGAGGGTACGTGCACAAAAACAGAGAAGGTCTCATCGAAAAGACAATGTCATAAAATCACCCAACAACAAGAGAAGAAAAAACATCTCAAATAATCACTCACCAACAGCAATTAATGATGTTATTATACCTCAATGTCTTCAGGAAACGACCATGCAGCTGATTAGCGTAAAGGCGGGAATGACCTTGGCATTCGTTCAACAATATTATTGTCACGTGTCAACTATTCGATGCAATCGTTTATCCTTTGAAAGGATAGAAAATGTTAAGCGCTATTTGGTGTATACATATATATGTGAATTCAATGCTTAGTTAAACAAACAATACATTTAATATTGATGTATTAGGCATTTAAAGAATTATTTTTTTCCTGATTAGTTATCAGGAAAAAAACGGTATCTCGGAACGACAACCTT